TCCCTGAAATAGCACAGACTTCACATTGAAGTTGGAAATCCGGACCTTATTTTTCCATGCTGAGTGCTGATCATCTCCACACAGACTTGAGAAAAATGAAAGCTTGTCTTGCTTTCTCGATCCTCGCTTTGAAATCCTCGTCAATTCCACCTGTAGTTGAAACGATGCTTCCCAGGTAGGTGAGGGATGTTGCTCTTTTCAGATTTCCCACCATTGAACTAATTCAATATGTCCCTTTAAACTTCGGTTTCCTTTTTGTTTTGTTCGCTGTGCTTGTGTGCGCGCGCGTATTTTTCCTCTTTGTCTTCATTTAATTCATCCTATTTTGGTTTTCAGTTATAAGAACAGTTATTTTTTAAAAATTCGTTTCCATGCTCTTCCTGCTCACACTTGTAATTCGTTTAAAATAGAAACTATTTTACAATTATATCCTCATCCTGTGTAATTTTTGCTTTTAAGCCCCTCCTCGCAATTCATATCAGATTGAGAGATAATTGTCACCTTTTATTCGCCTTTAACATTATTTCTTTGGTGCGTCGGTTGCACAGCGGTTAGGACGCTCGCCGACCATGTACATGGTCCGGGGTTCGATCCTGGGCGGCGCATTTCTTCACCTCGCTAAGCCAGAAATAAAACTGGTAAAGAAGAAAGGTTGAGATTAGCAACTCCATCCTGTAAAAATAAACACTGCTACAGAAACTTCAGTCCACTAGATTGAAGCCCTATGTTCCACTGGAAACGTGAAGGAAAAAAACACCATTATTCCTCTAGTTGTCAAGTATTAACTTTGCATACGTTGTAACTATTTTCTAATCCTACATAATCTTTTCTCTAAGCGCCTTGTAATCTATATTTGTACCTCCAAACTTTCATATTAAGTTGAAAATTATTATCTCATTCGTTAATATGTGAAATTAAATAAATAATAATTGTATCCATGTAAATTTATGTATTATATAAATGCGATTGTACAGCTGCTTTTGAGAATGAAATCGCCGAAAAGATGAGATATCTGTGTTGTTGAACTTCTTGCTCTTTTCCCTCTAATACTGGAAATCGTCTCGTCTTTTTCATTTGACTTTCACAAGCAGAATGATGACTGTGAAGTATACGTCAGAAAAGGTATTTCAATAGACCTTGCTGGAGTTTCATATTCATCGTAATTACTACAATGAACATCGGGATTGTTCACCACTGAGTAGGAAGGAACAAGATTACTTATAAATATGTAAACATAATGAGTAGTACTATTGTTAGGGGTGTGTGTGTGATACACAAAAAGTGGGTTCCAACAGAACATTGTTTTCATAAATACTATTCCCCCACAGTTCAGTACTACATTAGGTACAGAATACTATATGTGTATATTTGAACATTCTATTTCATGTTGTTTAATGTTAACAAAAATCACACGCTGGCTCAGTGATTGGCTAAAGAATATAAACTGTATAGATATGTGTAAATCTTTAAATATTGCCATTTTTAATATTGGAACAAGACATACAAGCGAAACAATATTGCTGTTGTTTTCATTTAGATCTTCAGGCTTTACTCTAATTTACATAGACTTATGTATAGAAAATTTTAACCAATGACGGTGACTTTGTGGATCAAATAACAATAATATGGTAAATGTTTTGAACGTAATTAATAACGATGATTATAATGATAACAAAATATTGACAATAGGGTTTATCCAGACGATAAGGATGACGAAGGTAGTGAGTAATATGTGTATATGTAGACAATTAGAGGAATAAATAAATGAAGTCAAATCTTAAAAGTTACGTATTACTACAGTTGGACTGGGTGGAGATAATCAGAGTTTAAATAAAATTTAATAAATATCATTAAAGTACGAAGGAAATGGAAAATAAGAGAGGGTGGGAGGGTTATGAATAGAGGTCACCTAGGCCAAAGGAGAGACGAAGGTAGAACAAACTTCTTTTGTATGCAAAGACTAGGATTGTTCTATCGAATTCCCATAACTTCGGCTATGTGTAAAAGACAGTTTCGAATTACGTTCAAAAGGCTCGATGGATTGCAATAGATAACTTTGAAGGCACTATTTTTGTCCACTTGGTGAGCAATGTCAATCAAATGATTCAAAATAGAACTTCGTATAGATTTTATTTGACCTTTCCCGAACAATGAAGGAAGATGTTCATTAATGCGTTTTTCAAGCTATCTAGTTGTTCACCCTACATAGCTCTCTCCACAGGAGCAACTGAATTTATAGATACATATAGTGGTGTAACATAGTACATCTACCCTGACTGGTATCAAAACAAAGTTTGCCAAGGATGGTAGGTTTAGTAGGATGACGACTAGTTGCTTTGATCGCATAAGGGTGGTTTGATCTTTCCAATTGATAGCTAGGGCTTGCACAGACTTTAGCATATGCTCTCCACAAAAAATACATTTCGTAGATATGTTGAAAAGATGTGTAGACGTCAATTTTATGTCCTGTCTTTTGTGTAATATATTTGGTGATAGAGGAGCTAGGTCATCACCTGTTTTTACAACGATTACGTTCAGGGGAATCTATTTGCCTCTGGAGCCATTTATAAATATGCTCTGAAGCCCTTACTTACTCTATTTAAAGCATTTAACAAAAGTAGACTAATATTTGTTAGAAGTCTGAGGTTAAATTTCGATCACAGGTGATACAATTTTGTTTGTCCATTATGCCTTTTAATGGCTATTCTTTCATGACTCTTTTGATTGGACAAAGATTTTTAACATACAAGAGATGTTCCTTTTGATATTTATAAACCTCTGTTACACTAACTTTGATTAGTTTCTCTGAAGAATTTCGAACCAGCTTGCTGAACACAAGGAACGTTGGAATTATTCATTTCAATTTCGCTATGATTTTACAAAAATGTAATTTTTACAAATATCTACTTCTCATTCGGCGTCCAGTTATTTTGTAACTATTCGATCAAATCTTGATCACAGTTCATATGAATGAATTACCTTGCAATCGAATTGAATTAACAAAAAAGCTACGCTAATTGGTGCAATCATCGTGTTTTTAATCTCCGTTGTCTACAACATGACGTATATTGCTAAATCCGTAGAGCCGTCAGGTCACCTGACAACTCCAGAAGGTCGATTAAAGTAGCTCATTCCACGACTATAACGTTTGTACGATAACGCGTTCTTAGAGGAACCAAAAATCTGGAATCATTTCGAAAGCAAATATCCAATTTGACTGGAATCTTATCTGTTGTGGTTTCACCAGAATTGAAGACTGTCATGATGAATAATATTTTAGTTTAAAGAAGAATTTTATCTTCAATCCTCAAGACGAAGACAAATAAATATGTTCAACCATCTGTTTCAACTAAACTCTAGTGCCAAGCACCATCATTTTGAAAAACTATACCTCCAATCATCGAATTCTAGATACTAACACTTTGAACAGACGTGAAGGTGTGATGTTTGGTAGCTGATGCATGACAAATCCAGATTAATACATTAAAAAATGGATATGGATCACTAATTAATCATACTTGGTCAAAATTCCTCATTGTCTACATCTTCTTAAGGACAGGCTAACAAATGTTTCCCAGCTGTTTACCCCCACCCCCTGCACACACACCATTGTATCCCGCATATACACAGATATATATCCTTCATATTCAGTTATCTACGACCATAAACTTTTACTTGAACGGAATCACTGAGATTGTGATGAAAAGTACACTTTGTTTAGAGTGTTTAACAAAAGTAGACTAATATTTGTAAGAAGTCTGAGTTGAAATTTTGATCACAGCGCTCATACAATTTTGTTTGTGTATTATGCATTTTGATGTCTGTTGTTTCATGACTCATATGATGATTGCACAAAGTTGTTTTTTTTTTTTACAAAAAACAGATGTCCTTCTTATATATCAACCTCTGCAAAGTTAATTTCAGTGAATTCCCCCTGAAGAAGTTCTTGCCACTAGTTTGAAGAACGCTGGAAAGATTGGAATGACTCATTTGAATTTCGCTGAGATTTTGCAAAAATTTTAATTTTTACGAAAGCCAAATATCCTAGATAAAACATAGAACTTGTGCACTGTGGTAGAGTACAATTTCATAGTGGGTAAAATTTATTTTGATAAATTCTCACAGTGTTAAATAGTAATCTTTACTGACGACCGCATTTCGAGCATAATTTATTGCTGGTAATCATATCACCTTGATATGATTATCCATAATGGAGAAAGAAAGACACTTCCTATCGAAGTCGTCTTTATGTCCCGTTTATATCAAATGCAACTGAGTCACCGATCTATTTTCTAGCTTCTTTAAGTCTGCACAGGTCTTTGGGATCACCTTTAGACATTGTTTATGCTGTTTCACACTTACATTTATTTGTCTGTCTGGAAGTTTCTGCTGAACTAACAGCATCTAAATCCCCACAATTCATATGGTACACACCTGTTGGTCGTCTTCTTCTACTTTATCCTTCACCTTCACCAGTAATGTGTAAGGTTTCCGTGGCACGAAAATACACCCTAATGTCATGATTATTAGGGATTCCCGGTTTCTCACCCGATATTTCTTTGCCGCAAGGAATCACCAATACCGCACTACCGCAATTCCTAACAATACGATTCGATGCATCCTTATCTTCACATTTTAAATACCTTTTTATGAAGGCATAAGGATAATTATTTGATTCAAGAGTGGAATGAACCAATTTTAACTCCCTCCCTGCTGATCTCTGCCCGCTCAGTAACTAGACTTTTGTTAATTAGATTCTCGACCAAAATCCTTTTGGGGATAAACGGATGTGGTGAATAGTAAATAGTCTAGATATCTCTACGAATTTGTTGGCATTCTGAAAATGTTTATTTTTCAAGTTTACCATCTGGTTCCCACTTTACTCCACACTCCAGGAACACCAAATAGCCTAGTTTCCGAATTCACCTTCGACAACATCATAAGAGCGCTTCACGAATGAATCATCCAGACTAGAAAGCAAAAGAGCTAAAACACACACATGCATATTAAATATTGCTTTATTGTAGTTTACACATCTCAGCATATCTGTTTGTACAAAAAGGCTTGGTTGGCTACCAAGACTCACTGACTCACTGACTACAAGTATAGAAGTCAACTGAACAGTCACCATCAGCATTATTTTTATTTATATGCAAATATATGTATATTAAACAAAACGAGTATTCTCTTCATTCACGTGTGAAAAGGGTTAACCACGACAATACAGAAAAGAGTTAGACACATACAACTGAGGTTAGATCACTGATAACACGATAACTCTTCATTCATTTATAACACATATAAGCATAAAATTGAATAGCAGTAGTCATAATAATAATAATACTGCTGCTCATATATAAATGGACAGGACAAGGTGTTAAATGAAAGGAATTCAAGGTAGGTTAACTTCTCTGTATGTGTATGTGCATTATATTATTTAAACAAAATAAAATCTTAATGTGTTTTTAATGTGTTTCGACCAAATGAGGGATCGTATATATTTATATAAATTTGTTAGGGAGTATTTTTGAATTTGGCGCTCATCGCTGAAATAAAATAAAACAAAAGAAACGTATGAATTCATGATGTGAGAATTGATGAAGTCAGACACACACACACAATGAGTGTGGGATAATAATAAGAATTCACAGTTTGTTGTCTCTCCTGTCTCTCTCTGGTTCTCTGTCTTGTTCTCTTTTCAATAGAGTAAAAGGAATACAGATGTAGGAAGGAAAGCATGAACAGAATATTTTTATAGAACAACATCTTACACATGGAATAACTTCACGCATACGTGTTAGGCAGTGTGAATGGATTCGTGGAAGAAAGGAAGGGTGAATGGGTGGGAGAATGTTCAAGTGTTATACTGATTGAATTCTACTTGTCAGGTGTGTATTGAGTGATTTCATCAGTCAATTTTTATTTTTAGATAAAACACAGTATATCACTCATTCTCATGACTTACAGTTATCGAGTATCATTATTATGAAAATCGGTATTATTATTATTAATCTTATTATTGTTGGTATTATTTGTATCTTTTGAATTGGCTAAATGGACGTCGGTAGATGGAATATTTGTTGTATCGACAGGATCAATTTGTTGGTTTGATACTTGTAGCGATTTTGGTGTACGTGAACATCTTTTCTTGAATATGAAGTAGAGGATTACACCGAGCAAGGTTAAGCCGAACACGACACCACTGATGATTACAAAAGCTAAGAGAATCTTTCGGTTATGTTCAGCTTCTGGTGTACTTGTTCTATATGTGTGTGTGTGTTTTGTTTTGTTAATTTTTGTTAATTGGTTAATATTGGTTTGAAAGGAAAGCAGAAAAAACGAGGAGAAAAACAAAGAGAGAATGCATATTAATGGTAACAATCAATTATGTAGAATTACACTCAAACTGAAGAAAGATTAGTAAATGAAATACTGGATTTAGTGTATTTTCTTTTCCGAGTTTGACTACGGATTGATTGATAACTCAGTTGGAGAAGCATTGAAAACCACCAGCTGGGGGAGTACTGCCAGACAGATGTTTCCTCCAGTCAAGTGCTTGGGACTCATCTGTAGTATGCACCCACCCAAGAGCTTCCGGTTAAAAGGCGAGCGAGCTCGTATACTACTATTCAGCCACTCAATAGGAAAGCTTAACCTTGAGGAACTAACCAACCAATCACAGCAGGCTTAGCGTGTGCAAACACAATTTGCAGATATATGACTTAACGTTCTGAGAAACGGCCACAAGCAGTACTGAATAAACTTCATCAAGAAAACAACCAATCAGAATACGTTGCTTCTTTGCTGATAATAATGTAAATAAAAATCTACAAATATCTTTTGATTTCCTCAATAAACGATCTGTTGCCTTTACCTTGTATTTTGTCGTTAAAATCTCAGTTACATTATTGGTTGACAATCATATTTTTTTAACTAAAACTCGTCACATAATCATAAATATTAGAACAAGACATATAATGAACGAACAATACTGCTGTTTTCAGTTATAGATCTTATAGAGGCTTTATATATAACAGCTTAAACCAATGACGGTGATTTTGTGGATCAAATAATAATAATAATGATAATATGTTTATAGGAATTCGCCCACGAATTGATATCAGTTAGAGAAGCACTGAAAACTAATGAGTACTGGAGAGTTGTTTCCTCAGCCTGGTTCGGGAATCATAGGCAGCACGCATCCACCTCATTGGGGTTCGAACACAGGACCTCCCTGTTACAAGGCAAGCTAGCTGTTTTATCATTCAACCAATTACTGGGACCCGTCCGATTCAGTGGCTAGCCAGCCAGCCAGTCCATCAATTCTAACTTCTATCGATTAGTGATGCATTTATCGCGACTGGCACCAACCGATGTCATCGCTGCGGAAAATCTTTTCTCACACTTGGCGACTGGATGGATCTCACTGGTCACGCCTTCTGACTAGGCGTACTCCAGATATACTACCAATGATTCCCAAACTAGGCTGATGAAACAGCTGTCTGGCAGTACCCCCTGGTTTTCAATGCTTATCTAACTGAGTTATCAATCAATCCGTGGTGAAACTCTAAAAAAATGTATATATATTTTACTTGCAATTATTTATGATAGTATGACTCCATACAGTATTTCGGTACAAGTATAGAATTTTCAGCATGTGGTATCGGTAGGCCAAATTTAGCAGGCTGACCATTGATATCAGGTGTAAGTCTGCTGGACCATGTGCGCATGGTCGACGAGAGTCCTAAATGCTGTTCCGCTGGCGCACATAGGTGGGAGGGAAGATTGTGAGGCCTCCCCTCTGACAAAACTACATGCCAGATTTTACCTGATTAGGGTCCGTCGCGAGTTTAAAACCACCGAGGTGCAATGGTGAGCCTCTACTCGGGGTCAGAGTATTCTTGATCACCTTGAACCCGGCGACAGGTATATACATGAGTAAGTGAAGAAAATAAAAGACAATTCGTCATCGAAAAAAAATGCTTCTTTATCGATGAAATTATCTTCACAGGTTGGCTGTGCAATAATCGTATTTATATTTACCGAAAATATAAAATAGTCTATTATTGAGTAATAGGTGAGTGTGTGTGTGTGACATAATTGACGTAATTACTTAGAAATGGCTTCAAAAGTAAAAATGAAAGTTTTCAATTGCGTGATACCTTACAACGGTACAAAGGAAGAAAGCATTAGAAATTTTATGCAGCCGACAATTGATCACTGGATGTGTGAAGGATCAAGTGCATCTTTGAACGAGCCACTTCAACGTGTGTTTATAAATTAATTTTTTCCTATGGAGCTAGTTATACTGTACACACAAAGCGACCAAACTTTTTTCAAACGCATCTCTAAACATTATCCGGCATGCTTAGCAAAGGGAGAATGCAAGACAGTTAGTTAATAGCTCAATTCTTGGCCACTTGGTCAACTCAAGCCATGCAGCCTCACCACAGTCGTCTTTCACGACTATCTACAAAGTGAGACGAAGTGGTAAAAACGATGTCGGGTTTCGACATTTGTGTATGGTGGAGGTGTTGGCAGTTCATCGATAAAACCTCGAACCCTGTCTACAGAAAACATTTGTCCATTCTCCTATCCAACCACCGTCTTAACTTCTTCACTAGTCGTTCTCTGTAAAAAGCTTTATTTTTTAAAACTTTCGATTACGTTTTTTGGTCTGCTTTTATTTGACCAAATAATTCACTATTATCACTCTCGTATGTTCCTTTTGGTACATTTTCACTTCCACCTTGCACTTGTCGGACTGACACTCAACTACCACTTTTCTTCTCACTACTCAATAACAATTTTAACCTTATCAGATTTCTGACGCTTTCTTCCTTAGTACCATTATTGAGTACTATGTAGTTTACAACTTTTATATTTTATTTCTGAACCTACTTGTGAGTAATTATTATCAATTATGTCACACATACACACACACACTCCCATAACTCAACAACAGACTATTTTGCATTTCTAGTAGCCATAAGTATGAATATATTACAGCCAGGCTGTGAAGATGATTTTGTCCATAGAGAAGCGTTTTCTTCACTGATGAATTGTCTTTTGCATTTTTCTTCATGACTCAATAGGTATTTTCAGTGATATACACGTGTATATACTATTGCTTATTGGGGAGATATCCCTTTCACTGCTTTGACGAAAGCGATTCTTAATGTAACGATGCTATGTACTACTACTAATTGACGGATATCAGTAGTTGGATGCTACTACTCACATCGGCTACTTTAGATTGATTCGATTCACCGAGCTGAGCTGAACCAGGCAGGTTATGCTGGTGATGAGCCCAGACTCAAACGGGTGTTTTTCGATCCTTGCAATCCGACTAGTGATAACTGTTACCGACCGATGTAAAAGGGGTATCCAATTATCCATTCATACAGTGATGAATACAACTAAACTACTTTTAACAGTTATTAAAGCAGGCCTTCGAATTGTCTGTCTGCACCTGTATGCGTGTGTGTGTGTTTTATTCAACTTGTTAAATTTTGTATTTATTTTATTTTTTTCTTCAGCTGACATTGTGTTCCTTCACAACTAAGGAGACTGCAAAATCGACACCCGATACAAAGGTCTTTACAGCAAAGATATGCGTTATTTAGATGACAAGTGGCAAAACTTGTCTTGAAACTGGTCACCTGAATTTTGTGACTACCCTACTATTTTGAAAGAGTACATTCGATTCCTGTTTCAATAAAGCAAAAGATATATTATTATTATTCCCCTGGGTTACGAGTGGAACATAGGACTAGATTCAACAACATATCTCTACTTCGTCCTATCTCCTTGCCGTCCTCTTCATCTGGCTGGCTCCATGATTGACCATAATTTCTTATCTCCTTCTCATTCTTGACCCACGATCTCCTCCATATCACAATAGCACCGAACATCCACTCGCCCATTGCTCCTCATTCACCTTCCACTCGAGTGGTGGGTGGCCTGCATTGCGCGCAACGTCGTTCGACCGATGGTGTCTCTCCTCAATATATGCCTGATCAATCCATCTCCAATCCATTTCTTCTACATATTTGTTGAGGAATCAAGCGGCTCTTTCTCTAATGGTTGGTTGGTTGGTTTGTTCCACTGCAGAGTTTCTTGTTATTTTATCTTTCTGGCTATTTGATCTTCAGTATAGAGCCATCCAGTAAGCCAGCAAAGGTGGCAGATGTTGATAAAAGCCTCTAGTAGGCTGTTGGAAATCCTGTTCGCGACGCACACGCACTGCAAGTTACTGATCCATAAAGCAGAAGTGGCTTACAGACTGTCTGCGCTGATATTTGTGTTGAACAGAATCCGAATATTGTCTTTTATGCTGACGAGGAGTGCAGTGGAGAAGATTTGCAAAGTGGTTTCAGGTTGATGAAGGTTTGCGTGTCTTCCCTTTTTTATCGATTCTGGCTGGATGACTGACTTTTACAATTTCATCCGTGCCATACGCTTATAGTTGAAACAATGCTGGCTGCCTAGATAAGTGAAGGTGCGATGTAATCTCTGTTAAATATCTCCCTTTGAATGTAATTGGTGCTGGTTGTCGTTGTTTATGTTAGTTGGTTGGTTGGTTATTTTGGTCACCTCCGTCTACACCTTCTGTATATTCAGTTGGATGGAGTCCTGTATTCGCTACCAGTCAGCTGTTAGTTTGCTTTGACTTGTTTCATACCGATTTATTTATGCTGTTCGGCTTGATAAATACAATGACTGAATGAAAAAAATAAATAAACTGTCTATCTTACTTCAACTTGTATAACAAGGCTCCTAGACTCCATTGTAATTCTGTGCTATTGATTTCATGAGCAGGTTGTAACTTTTCATAATTCTCTGGAAAGTGTAAACCTTTATGCAAGGCACTCAATAAGTACGATGCTTTAAAGCATATTAATCTACAGGAGAGACACACACAGGAAGAGAAAAGAAAAGGGAATATTAAAGCATAAAACATAACGATTAGTGTATTTTTGTAAAAAAAAAACGAAAAATAATCGAGCAGTAGGGAATAATCCTTTCCGATAATTTCCTCCTCCTCCTCCTCTGGCTCTACAATTATATGCGTGCATGTTTATATACATAGAATGTTCTAAAAAAGTCGTCATTAAGAATATTATTGTGCTTTTTGAATACTATCGATTTTTTAGGTAGAATCACAATGGAATTACAGACACTTCATGAAAGATGCTGCATAAATTATTGAAATTTCTACAACAACCAATTAAGCATCATTAGAAACTTGATTGAAACCTAGCGAGGTAAGGACAGTGTCTGAACCAACCAACTACTTTTGGAAACATACCTAAGTTGGGCTTCTTAATGTAGATCCCAACAGCCAGCATCAGCAATATGTAGTAGACGAACTCTTAAGGTGAAGTTAAGATTAGTTAGTTGGTATGTGGTAAATGACTTCGAAAGCCTGGTTAACATCTATTCGTAGCGCTATTCTATCTCACTCATCTCGTGAATACAGAGTACAAGATTGATGTTAACAAAGTAGGTGGCTTTCAAAGTCATCTACCGCATAGCAACAAATATTAACTGACCTTAAGAGTTCGTTCAAAATAATCAACAGACAAAAAGAAACCTAGCCTGCTTTGTTTTGCTAAGGCAATCGCCATCAAATGCTTAATAGAACATCTGTGTACGCAGAAAGAGACAGTGGTGATGAATCTTGAACTACCTTGGTGATAACAACGCACATAAATTTCACTACATCATCTTCTGCCCTGTTTAGAAAACTTGGACTTTCGACTAAACATCACCCTTCATTCTTGTCTATTTTATCAAAACGTGTCTTTCTGTGGCTGCATAACCTATTACTCCTTTTTATATTCTTTTGCTAATAATCATTATGAGCAATAAATTGTGCTCGAAACGTCATCAGTAAATATTACTCTGTAACACTGTGAGGCTTTATCAAAATAAATTTTACCCAAAACGGAATTATACGCTACAACCACAGTGCACAAAGTTTTATTCTTATATCAGTGGTAAGCAAAACTTAATAATCACCCTGATAAATTAGTCAGAAAGTATGTAGGGAAAAGTAAAAATAAAGTAAACAATAATGGTAGTGATAGTAATAGCAATAATAATAATAGTAATAATTGCAATAATACTAGTAATATAATGGAGACATGCATGTCAAACATGCGTAGGATAATGGCAACACCAACAATAAGGAATCTAAATCATCAGTAGTAATTCCATACAAGGAAGGAACCTCGGAAACCACCTCATGGTGGAGAATTCCTAACAATGCAGACAGGATTAAAAGTGTCATTCAAACCCACAAACTCAATTAGAAACAAGCTTTGTCTGATCCCATCATGGAGCTAATAAAACAAAACAATTTAAGCGCGATATACCAAGTAAAATAATTACGAACATATTTAGAAAATCAGTTCAAAGAAATTTTAATGCTGGTGAACTTCACGTCTTATTCTCTACACGACCGATGGTGATTCCTCGACTGAAAGATAAAGACTAGCTGGCCACTCCTAATTATATCTACCAACTCAACTACGCTTGTGGAGCGAGTTATATCGGCCGTTGTTCTAGGAACTTGATTTTTCGTGCTCGAGAACACCTCCCAGTTTGGCTAAGTCAAAGGTGTAGTGAAAATCATTAGCAGTTCGATATCAGACCACCTGGTATAAACCAGCCGGCCACAAAGCCAGCCAGCATTGAAGAATCATTCTCCATCATCGTCATCATCATCTACCAAACAAATTGGCAATAACATCCACATACCGCATGCTGTAAAATTCAGAGGCTATTGTGATTTACGTGAAAAAACCAGTGGTCTGTATCTGCGCAGAAGAAGCAAGTCCAGCCACTACTACTGCCTTCGCCTTCAGTGGAGACTGTAAATTCATGAATTTGTATTATTATCCTTCCTAATTTTTCTGACATTCAGCTTATTTTATGTTGATGCTGTTGAGCTGTAGTCTATGAAAATTATTGATTCGATGTTATTCAAACATTAATGTTGTTCATAACACTAATTCATTCATTCATTCACTATAATGTATATATAACTGTAGTGTGGTGAGAGCAGGCTGCTAGCCAATTGGTAGACATTAATCGACGCTGATTGGTAGACATTAATCTAGGCTGATTCAAAAACCAATCACAGCAGACCTAAACGTGGGCAAATATGATTCGCAGATAAATGGCTCTACTTTCCGAGAAATATCGAAAACAACCAATCAGAAGACTGTGTTTGTCTGTTTAACTTCCGAGAAACAACCAATTAGAAGACTGCGCTTTTTTCTGCTTGCATAAGCCTTATTAATGTACGTAAAATATATATAAATACGCGTTGATTTTCGTAATAAAATGATCTGTTGCCTGGCCCTTGTCTTCTGTTGTTACAGTAGAACCTGATGATAAAGCTATTGAAAAGAGTATTCTTAGTTCAGTATCCATTCTTTTGACAATTCACTTTATCTAATGTCCTACCTGCAATGATTGTCAGTGGGCTCAAATACATAGGTCAAAGTAGTAGGACAGGTGCAGTCAGTCAGACTAGCGGAGTGTAAAAAACTAGCAGTAAAATCTAGATTAGTTGACCCGAATAAAGTAATAAGAAATCTGGAGAATAAATAGTTCAGCTATGCCACTCCTTACATGCAATTACACACAACTATACAATATAGGATGATGGGATAAGATGACAGTTCTAAGATTAAATGTAACAGGGTGGAAGGAATGGAAGAGAGATTGATAACAGAAGCTTTGTTTATCGAATCTACTACAAACACGTGTAAAAAGAATGATTCAACACCTGTCCAGCCAGATATCTGGAAACTTCTACTACCGCAACAACGACAAATAGGAGAGAACAAAGAAAACTATAAAACTCAAGTTTTAAAGTCATGTGGTTATAATTGATATGATTGTGAACAATAAATTTTCTTCGAAACTGTGTCATCCAGTGAATAATACCGTTTCACTGTGATATATCTAATAAAAAACTCATATTGAATTACCTACTACCACGCTGTTAAAGTTTTACACATATATTAAGAGTACCAGACAGCTGTTTCCACTATCCTAGTTTGGGACTGACTCTTCATCAGTGCGCACCCACCAGGACATCCTGGATCTACAAGCTTGACCAGAAGGTCCTCGGTCAGAACCGCAGTATGGTGAGTGCTTTCCGTTCAGCAGTCCCGAGATAGGAAGAAACAGTTGTCTGACAGTACTCCCAAGTGGCTTTCCAATGGTTCTCTAACCAGCCGATATCACCTCATAATGAAGTCCTATAGCCAAATTTCACAATTTTGTCGATTATCGGATTTATACCTAATAGCATATATGTATACTAAAATTAGAAAAAAAACAAAACAAAAGAAGAACACCTTTTTGGGATCCCAATTTCATTCTATCTTAGAGTACCCTAATTTTAATCCAAACGGGGTAGTTTCATCATCATTCGAACATTAATATGAAGAAGACCAGTAGTTCAGCGAAGAGTCTGTTTTCGATGGCCAGTTGATTCATCACTCAGCAGTAAAATCTCAGATATATACATGGCTATTTTTTACGTATGTGTTTACATTAAATTTGTTGGACGAAAATACAATTAGTAAGGTTTTTGGTGTAGTTACGTAATATTAAAGGCGTTCAGAGGAATTGGATGTTGATGTAAATCAGTAATAACAAATTTACTGCACACATATAAAAATAAGCATGTACATATCTGCGATTGTATTGTTGAGTCATGAGTGAATTCTTCGTAAAAAGAGACTCTTCACTGAACTACTGGTCTTCTCTGTATAAATGTTTGAATGACGATGAAATTTTGATGTAGTTGTGTGTTCTGTCAGCTAGCTAGCTACCTGGATGGATGGTTCATTTGCGAAGCTTTCACTATTATTTCCCTCCTCCTAATAGGCAGTCAACATCTTCAGCTCATACTTCACTTCAAATTGAATTGAAGTGAGCTTGCACAATTCTCCACGAGTTTATTAGTCATCTCTCCTAGTGGATGGTGAACTTGAGCGTCGTGATTGGTTGTTTCCGTGTGTAGTTTCACACCCTCTAGGATACTACTTCTATTGTTAGTTGTGCTGACTGTTTCCTTGATCCCTGACGTTTCAGCCTTCGTGTGTGTGTGTGTGTGATTTTCTTCTCAATGATTGGGGAATTTTGTCTATGTCAATGTGTCTATTATTAATTGACGATTCTCACTGGAATACCAGACAGCCTTCTGAAAATGTTCTAGCATTTTTGGTGTTGTTTCCACTGTCTAATATTGTTTCAACGCTGGTTGTTCCCCAGTCGAATTGATGTCCACCGTGGTTGTTGTCTGTATGCAGTGAGGCTATATGAGTGATTGAGTGAGTGGATGTGATGCCTTTTGACGACTAGTTTATGATGATGGAATTATCCCATTCACATTACAAAGTAGGATAGTCTGAGAAAGGATGGGACTGGGCGCGCGAAATGGCTCTTCTTTTTTAGTTTTGTTTTTCCTAATTTTAATGAATATCATAGTCATCTTTTGTTTTTTGTTCTCGTATGCGAACAAACACACGCGAACATGCACACATACATTTCTCAACAATAGGATGACAATATTTTACTCCTTCTTTTATTGTTGTTGGTATGGCTGTTTGTCCACGATGCAGTCCTCTTTCCTCCCCCCCCCTTCCCTCATCTTCCACAGCCATGTGTGTGTGTACGTGCGTGTGTTTACCGATTCTTTTGAAAAATATTTTAAAAAACAACAACTCATAAGGAGGTTTCAAGAGTTGTTCTGTGTCACAACCCGTGTTTTTGTTTTCTTTCTTATTTCGTGAACAAATACCTTCATCAATTTATCAAATATAAAATAAATCACGTTAAGATGTTTTTCAACCAAAGAATTAACACTATTGAGACGTAATGAGAACAGCTGGTTTCATCCGTTGGAAAGTAAAAGGAATAAACAAAAAAAAAACCTACAATAGCATAAATGAATAATGCAAAAACACAGTAGCGTGGGAATTATAGCTGTAAATTACAGTTAACATTTTTCTAAAAAGAGGTGAATTGAACACAGAAAATAATAATAATAATTATTATTGTTCCCTTGAGTTTTGAGTGGAACATACGGCTGGCTTCAACAACATCACATCTCCACTTTTTCCTATCTTCTGCAGTTTCTTCTTCAGCTCACTAGCTCCACGATTGCCTATAATCTTTCATCTCCTCCTGACTGACTGACTGACTGATAGAATTCAGTCTGTAGCAAACAAAGGACTAGCCAGACACACCACACTACTTACTGACTAGTGTCCAATCAAAGCATACCCTTCATACAACAATAGGCACCAACCACTATCAAAGGTAGTCAGTTATGGAGCAGGTTGAAAGTGATGTCAGCTGAAGGCTCGCCGATATTCTATTCGGAACTGAGAAGTAATGAATAATAATAATAATTTTACTTCGACTGAAATCTAGTACACATAACAGAAAGTAAAAGATATGAGGAACTCACTTTTTGAAGCTCACAAAAGACTCGAATCTAGAGTAAAAGAAAAAAAACAGCGAAACCAAGGTAATTCGTTTACGACATGATATGACCACAATGCATATACATATAAATTATTTGAATAAAGCATTTAGAATTTAAATTTCACGAGATGACATCGTCATTTCGTAGTTTCTTTATAACGGCAATACATATATATATATATACATATATTATGAGTTGTTCACGGATTGATATCAATTACAGAACCATTGAAAACCGCCAGTTGGGGGAGTACTGCCGGACAGCTGTTTCATCAGCCCCTAATTTGGGAATCATCGGCAGTACGTATCCACTTGGGTTCGAACTTAGGGCCTTCCAATTACAAAACAAACTCGTATACCATTCAGCCACTCACTCGGACCCGTAACAACGGCCGGCCGACGAGTTCTAACTCCTACCAAACCGTAACTTATCGCGACTAGCACCAACTATTCTCACACTTTGACGATTGGATGGAACTCAGTGATCACGACTTCTCACTAGGCGTACTCCAGGAAACTCCGTCCTGTAGGAAGTCACTAGCGAGCATCGGATTAATTTTCTATAGTTGGTTTGTAAGGATTAGTTCTGCTTTTACGAGTTGATCACGGATTGTCCAGTACTCCCTGGTATTCAATGATTCTGTAACTGATATCAATCAATGATTAACTCGTAGAAAAAAAAAACTAATCCTTACAAACCAACTAGAGGATATACATATATTAAGCTAACACTTTTGTTCCATAAAGAGGGTTATTTGGAGTTCAGCACCGAAGATGATTTTCTCCTATGAGCGGGGCAATGAGCGGTTTCTCGGTACTTCTACTGACAAATCTCTATTGAATTCTACATTCAGGTAAAGAAGTTTTTGGGAGCAGAGAATGTGGGCAGCGGTTTTGTTCATTTAAGTCTCATTCATTTTGTGATAAAACGTCCTGGGTAGCAGTTTTTCAGGAGAATTCTCTTCAGATCGTTTAACTCCTCTTCTATACTATCGGATCTGCAAATGCTGAGAATTCTGTCGCTCAATAAACAGGTCAGGTTTCGTTTTGTATTAAAAGGGAACTCAACTATGAAAGTTAGTTAGTTGTCCGTTTCATTTCAATTTTCTTTCGGTGAAAAGTTTTAGTGTTCCATCTTGTTCACGTCTTGTTAATTCGACACGCTCAAAACGTTTTATCACAAAGCTTATGAAACTTAAACCACCAAAACTACCTCACACACTCTCTGCTCCCAAGAAGCTTATCTTACGTGAGTCTACAAGGAATTGTAGAGATTCATCAGCAGTAATATTTTTGTGAGGGCTGAGACAAATCAGATTTTCAGCTGCTTTAAAGGATAGTTTTCTCCAAAACATAAATACACAAAGTAACTCTCAGTCATTAGACGAACTAAAACTGCTGATTTCGCATAGCTAACGGATAACTAAACCATCGGTTGGAGGATTTCATCATGAGCACTGACATCAGTTGGTGGTTAGAAAACCACAGGAAAACCCACTACGGGGGGTACTGCCAGATAACCAGCTGTTTCCTCCGTCCTAGTGCGTGGCACTGGCTCTACGACAGTGTGCACCCACGCCACCCTTCGGTTCGAATCCGGGACCACGATCTGGTTAGAAGACCACTGAGCTAGCTAGCTCGTAGACTATGGATTAGCCACTCACTAGGACCCAGTGCAATGGCCAGCCAGCCTATGAATTCCAACTTCTGCTAATTCATGCACGATATAGCTCAACCACTTCGCAATGTCTTTTTCGATGACTAGTAGAGTGCAGCATGTCAAAGGTGTGTGGGGCAGTAACTCATCGAAGAAGACATTGCGAAGTGTCAGTTGTGCTAAGCTGTGCATGTATTTTCAGAAGGCTGAATCCATGTACTCACTGGCTGGGTGGCCATTGGATCGGGTTCCAGTGAGTGAGTGGCTGCTCTATGGTTTACGAGCTAGCTCGCTCGGCGGCCTTGGAACCAGAAGGTGGTCCTGAGTTCGTACCCAGTCGTTGAGGTGGTTGCGAAATGCTGAGGACCCAGTCCAGCCTAACCACTAGGATGGAGGAAACAGCTGGTTTTCTGGTAGTACTCTCTGTGACTGGCTTTCCAATGATTTTCTAATCAATGTCAGTGTTCATGATGATATCCTCCTACTAGTCAAACAAAATCCCTACAAACACCAATACTTGAAAATAAGTAAACATTATCAAAACATTTATGTGAATTCCTCGTTAATAATATCTCCCTCCTATTTGATGTTGTTTTATGTCTACTGATAAATCTTATCAGTAGCACATTCCACAATAAGAACACGGCGCATACTTTAGTAATACAATATTAATCAGTGTTATATAAGTGAGATTTTATGTGTACTCTTTGATATTGAATAAAAAAGTCATTAATTAAAAAAGTGTACTATGGTTAATGGATTCCACTGATATTAACTAAAATTTAATTACAAGAAATGAAAGTTAACAATTCTTATATTGCTGACATTCTGTGGGTGGTTCTATAATTAAAACAAAAGCGAATCGACATAGCAGACTGAGAACAAGCAACTTTTTTACTTCATTTGTAAATTCTGTCACAAGCATGAGTAAAGTGAAATTGTATACATCCTACCAATAGTGTTCAACAATATACACCCCTCAACTAATATTGTGATGAGCGGTACTGATACGATTCATCACTAGTACATATATATAAAGAGACTTCCATAGGCCAACAGAAAACAACATCAAATAGCCGGAAGAGATACAATTGATTCCAGAAAAGGCAAGTGATACAGTGGTGATTGTGAAGATACATGGTTGAGACGTAAAAGAAAGGAGCACACACAAATAAACACACAATATGTGAAGGAGAAAGGCGAGAAGTAGCAGGCACAACACGGAAGATGTGCGCAAAATGGTATGTTGATTATAAGGTATATATAATTTGGTTATATATAGATAACCTTTTGGCTGGAGGATTTCGTCCTGAGCAATAACATCGGTTGATGTTTGAAGAACCATTGTAAAACCAGCCACAGAGACTATCACCAGAAAGCCAGCTGTTTCCTCCATCCTAGTGTTAGGACCTTGATTTTTGACTGACAGCTTAATTCCACACTGTATTTTTGGTAAAAGTATAGAATTTTCAGCATGGATATCAGTAGCCCAAATTTTGCAGGCCTACCATAGATATCGAGTGTGCGTCGGTAGGGGATCGAACCTCGGACCATGTGCATGGTTGGCGAGAGTCCTAACCACTGTGCCAATGACGCACAGAATTACAAAAACACACAGCTCAACGCCTCAGTTCAAAGCCTATGCCACCTTCTGCTTACAAGGCCACCCAGCGAAGTAGCCCGTAGACAATTAGAAAGCCACTCACTAACTAGGACCCAATCCAATGGACATCCAACCAGTTAGTGCATGGATTCAAACTTCTCAAAATGCATGGACAACATAGCAAGACTGACACTTCGTAATGTCTACTTCGACGAGTAACTGTCCTCACACACCTTCATTCAACCAGATTGTACCGCACCAGTCACGGCTTACAAATCAACATTCCTTTAACCATGATATGATAACTGCAGGTGGTTTGTTATAACTGCCTCAACTTTGATATTAGTAAAACTGTTCATTTAACAAAGTGGGTACCTTCCAACCTTTCTTTATTCACATTTTTTGTTTCAGCGTATAAAGAATGTAAAAGTATCCATGCGTAATCTGCTTTTACAACAGCTGAATCAATCTACTCTTCTTCTCAGCGCTGTCTTAGTGTGTTAAATCCTGTTGGCATATTCATCAACGTGATTCAAACTGTCATAATTGTTATTAGTGGTATTACTATTGCTCAAATCATGAAACATCACATTTGTCTTCAGGCTTACTAAATTCAATCTCCTCTAGTTGTACATATCTAAGTATATATTTCCAATTTTAATTAATAATGCTATTTATAACAGACATAAGATCAACTCTCTCTCTCCCTGTCCTTGTTTTATGTTTTTTGTAGTTGTGGTTAATGTGGTTCTTAATTTGCATAGATTGTATCAACAATCAACTATAATGATTCGTTTTTTAACAATATGGCATTATTAGGCTGATGTATATACCTTTTTGTTGAATATGTGTATATAACCTCAATAACTACTACTTCTACTGTGGAGAGTGCTACTGATAAGATTCCTCACTAGTAGTAGAATATGAAGAGACGTTTACCGGCCAGTAGAAAACAACATCCAATAGCCGGAAGAGATACATTTGATGTCAGAGAAGGCAAATGATACAGTGGCGCTTGTGGAGATACACGGTTGAGACATGAGTGAAAGGAGCACACACAAAGAAGCGCACAATATCAAGGAGGAAGGCGAGAAGTAGCGAGCACAACACAAAGATCTGCTGTGGAAATGGTATGGCGTTTAACTTAAGGGGTTTACATAATTTGGCTATATAAAGAGAAAGATACCAATTTCCGTTTCACCACTGTATAATACTGATTGATATCACCAGTCAAATACTAGCGAGATCACATCGATTTAAACAACTGACTCAGATTTATTTTGTGTTTGGCGTTGTACACCCACTCAACCAAATGACCTGAATCTGTCCAGTCTGTGATCAAGAATTGTCATTGTCGGATTTCACACTCCTCATGGAAGTGATGAATTCAATTATATGTTCAGATTGTTTCGTAATCATTCGGCTCTCAGAAGAGAGTTAATTCAAGCATCCAACAAAAGAGCTGAAGAGTTGTCTGCGATTTACATCACAAAAGTGATAAGATGTTTACAATACCAATGCAAGAAACCATCATCATCATCATCATCAGAAAGTACCAAAACATTCAGCCTACCATATATATGAGAAAACATCTCTGAAATAACAGCTAGAATATTAAAATAGAATATTGAAATAGATACAGCACACAAGCCAGTCAGTCAGCTAGCGAGAAAGCCACCACAATCACTCCATTCGATATTGTGCAGACGAAAGAGTAATCCAACAGGAAAAGAAGAAGATCCAATTAATA